TGTCATCTTTGTGTTTTTATAGTCATGTGTATTTAATGAATATGCTTTTCGAACTAGTGTTTCGATTCGTACTGCTATTTGCTTGATGGTTTCGTTTGGTAATCTGCGAATTTCATTACATAAAACTCTTTGTTGTTGTTTGTTTCTTTCGGAGTCAAACATTTTTGAAAATTCTTGTGTAAACCTTTTCCAGTTTGATTTTATTTCTAGAGGTAGTACTGAAAACCATTTTTGGGCTGCGCCATCTAAGGTTGTTTGTATTAACGCTGTGTGTCGATGTATCCAATTTTGATGTAGTGGCGTATTAATTGGTTCAGGTCCAATATTTAAAATCAGGTTTGCTGTTACTGCATTTAAATAATCTTCTACAGAGTATTCAGGGTCTGTTCCTGTGAAAACCATTAAAGGTTTGTTTGATGTTATTGATGATCCACCCATAAGGTATGGATTCATTGTCATTTGTAATGATTCTGCTGCATTTGGCATTTGAGAAAAATTTGAAAGTTGGTTTCTTGTTATTTCATGTTGTTGGAGATAATATGGGAGTGGTATTTCATTTTGCATTTGTGATGGTTGATACGAGTGTGCAGTCATTGGATTTTGTTGTTGAATTGGTTGAAAAGATTGTGTATTAATTGGATTTTGTTGTTGAATTGGTTGTTGATTTTGTGCATCTATTGGTTGTGGAGAAAAATTTCTATGATTTGTACGTGTTCTCTGTATTCCTTGTTTACGATATTCTTGAGTATTTTGTGCAAATATATCTGGTTGTAAGAAATCATCATCTGAGGATAAATAATCCATTTGATAAGATGTCTGTTTTTTATTTTTATTTTGTTGAAAAAATGGGTAATTTTCACTGTGATCCCGTGGAGGATTTGTTTGGAAATTTGTTGAATTAGGTTGGGCCATTGGGTTATCCCAATTTCGAGATCTTGTATATTGGTTAAAATTTCTTTGTGGTTGATTATATGTTTTTGATGGATGTGTATAATTATAATTATGGTCTGCAAAGTTGTTTCTAGTGAATGTTTTGCGTGTTTTTGATGGTATTGTCATGGGTCTGTATGTTTGGTAATCCATATGTGAATATTTAGGGGCAACCGAAGGTTTAACGGTTGATTGTAAGGTTACCTGTGTTTGTGAAGGATTTGTATTTCTTGGTGTTGTTAAATTTGGGCGTATTGGTGAAATACTTTGTTGTGTAGTTGTTGTGTGTACAATTTCTTCATTTATGAAGTGTGATGGTGTCTGGATATCTTGTTGAGTAAGATTCCTAGTTCCATTGAGGTTTTCATTGTGTATAACTGTAGAGTTTAAACTATTATTTTGTGTATCGGGTAAAAATGTATTATAGTTTAATGGTGTTGCATCAATTGTTAATGGTATTACTCTTACATAATCTCTTATGTAAGATATTGTACCTATTGCTTGACTTGAGATTGATTGTGGAAAGCTTATAAATGCGGGATGAGACCATTCGGGGTCCCAAACATAATCTGATTGTTCTGTGATAGCGGTATCATCGTTCGAATTTTGGGGTCTAAAATTTTTTCTTGCTTGTGCAATTAAATCAATATTGTGTGTGAAATAATCTATTATGAACCATGCCAAAATTTTTTGTAGATCGTGTTTTGTATGTTGTGAAACGTCGTCTTTCGTGAAATTTTCTTTAATGATGTTTAAATAACTAGAGAGTAGTGTGATTTCATGTCGTACTTTCAAATGTTTAGATGTTTCTGTCGGTGAGACATTTGTTATTGGGATTTCGTTTTCTAATATCGAAATATAACTATATATTATTGCGAAAACTTCATTGGTGAATATGGAGTTTGCTCTTTGTGAGTTATGGTATTGGATGCTTTTTATATATTCTGAAAAAACTTTTGAAAATTCTAAATCAAGATCGTCTGTTTGAATTGTATATTTTCTATTATTATGGTTTGGTGAGGTGAATTCTATGGAGTAGATTCCATACTGTTGTGTTATGTTGCATATATCTTTTAGATAGTGATCTATGATTTGTCTTTTGATTTTTACATCGGGGAACTCTGTTTTACATGGACTGATTCCGGGTTCAAATAAATTTACGAGTAAATTTTGACAAAATATGTGTTGTCCTCTATCAGTATCTGCGTCTACTATAAAAGGAAAGATTTCATCATCATCTGGAGTTTCTTCACCTGGGGTGTGCGTTGAACTCATTTTTCCGTTCGATGACTGTTAATATGTAATTATTAATGTGTCGAATTGGTTGATTCCAATTGTATAGATGTACTGGTTTGTGTTTGTACTGTTTTTTTATTCTTCTTTTTCCTCTTTGTGATGAATTTGAAGTTGTTTCTGAGTCAGAGAAATATAATTGATCGTGAATTGGGCAATTTTTATCTATTGATTCTTTTAGTTTGTAAAGTTCGTCTAAACTGTTGGTTTCTGATTCTGAAAATGCGTTTCGATTTTTTGAAAATCTTTTTCGTGTTATTTGTCTTTGTTTAGTTATTATTTTCCTCTTTAGTGTTTGTCGTTTTGTGCGAATGTATCCAACTGTTTGTGTATGAGGTGTGATTACAAGGTCGTATTTTTTGTTATTTATTTCACAATTGTGTAAAACGATTGTTTGTTTATTTTTTAGGTTTTTAAATGACATAAGGTTTAGAATGACGGATGCAAAGGTTGTTAAATGATTTTTATTTTCTTAAACTGTTAGTTCTTACGATTTTTTGGTTAGCTTAACCTGGGTCTATTTGTTTAGGGTTGGAGAGAAAAGTATATCGATTCCGAAGAATGATTTTTTACTTTCTCGTGGCTAGTATAAGTTAAGGTGTTAACTTACTTAATCTTACTTAGGGGTAGTGATTGTGTTCAAGGGTTGGAGAATAGTAAATCGATCCACAAGGTTCAGGTATAATTAGAACGCGAGTAGTTCGTTAGATACTATTTTAAACTTACTAAGTCTAAGATTTATCCTGGGTCTGTTAAGAGGGGGGGTCAAGTGAAGGATGAATAACCGAAGTTCTTCACTGTTTATCCTAATTTGAATGATTAGTTTTGTTTAAAAATTTCTATTAGTCTTAGGTCTTTAGAAAGGGTTGGGTAGTGAATCGACGTTTGAGGTCGTTAGACACTAATTAAGTGGGTGGGGGAGAACAAAGTTGTTCTGTTTGATCCAAGGATAAGCCTTGATGATCAAATTTGAAATTTAATTAAGTAGAAAATGATTTAAGATCCAAGGATAAGCCTTGATGATCTGGTTTTAAAATTAAGTGAATTTAAGTTTTAATAAAATTTTAAATGTGTGTAAAGGAAAGATTTAGTGTTTTGATGATATTAGTGGGTTTATGATTGCTGTTATGTTTTAGGTGATGGAGCTGGAATCAACAGGATGATTTATGATTACTAACCATTTATTGTCATGCTACTAATTTTTATTTTTTATTTTTCAATAAATATTTTTCAAACATATTTTGTATATTACTGCAGAGTTTTAGGAGAACGATCTTAGATCTTTTTATCAATCGTTATTGTATATTAATAAATTTGTTTAGCGCCTGAAATGATTTTGAAGAGTAACTTCAAGGTTTTATGTTTGCAAATGGAAATCTAAATTCATTGCAAGTAGTATTCTAAATATAAAAGTTTGTTCTGGCTTTTGCCGAACTATCATATAACTATACGGCAAGTTTCTACTTTGTCGTATGTCGTCTTTGGTTCGAGGTCTTCTTCCAATTCCGGGTAGTTCTGTTATGGTTCGGAATATTGGCTCTGATCTATTGAGTCGTAGAGACATTTCGATTAAATTATTGTCGTATAACATTTTGTAAATGTTTTTGTCTAATTTCTAATCTATTTTGGTTAATTCTAATCTATTAAGGTCTTGTTCGAGACTTATGGTCGCACCAGATGAGTTAGGACCGAAGTGTAACTCATAGAGTAATTTCGGATAGGGTACACCGTCTGCTCGTCACGCTATCTTATTTTCGGCCGGATAGATTCGTGCAACTTCTTAGTCTAATACCGATCCTAATCTTACTCTTATACTATCTAGTCTCAGGTTGTTTAACTAGTCTCTGCTAGGCTCAATAGATCTAGGGTATACTGGTTTATTGCGGCTGCTGAAGTGCTCGGGAGAGTCCAACTAATTTCTAAGTTAAATTCAAATCTCTCTGGTGCTGAAATTACAAGTAACTTCAGCACTTACAAATAAGTGGGTTGTTAGTTAGATGGATTGTGATTGGTTAATATTAAATACTTTACATTGGTAAAACATTTAATTTATCCAATCATAAAATATAGTTTAGATCAGGTTCCAATACACCAACGTTTTTATTTGGAATATAGGTTGTTATCTAAATATAATTTTATAAATCTTCTCTTATTTCACATATTTAGTGAAGCATATAGAAGCATTCTAAGTATTGGTGCTTTGTTATGATAATTCCCCCTGAGTACGTGAACATCTTTAACTTTGTTGATTAGTATTTATACAAGCGCTAATTGTCATAACTAACGATCGTACTCGGGGTTTGAGAAATTAGACGATAAGCAAATTAGACGGTGGTACTTAAAAGGAAATTAGACGGTTTTGCAAAACTGCAATTGTGAGAAAATAGACGAAAGTGAGAGAAATTAACTTTGTTTGCACACAAATTGCGTTAAAAATAAAATTGTTTGCAGACAACAGTTCAATTTCGGTGGCCAAAAACTTTACAAGTCAATATGCATAATTTATTCAACTCAAAACTCTCCTGTAATATTCCGATTTGACATTTTATGTTCATTTAAACTAACTGTTTTGATAGGTATTGACATTTTATGTTCTTTTTGTGTTTGTGAAACTTGACTCTTAAGAAAAAATTTTGTTGGCCCTTTCCTTTTCATAGCTTTTTCGTCTAAAATGCCAGATCTGTAAAAAATAAATCAGTCTAATTTCTTTTTGTAGTATCAGTCTAATTTGCTTATCGTCTAATTTCCTAGGCCCCATTGTATTCGATATGCATGTATAAGTTTCGTCGCGTTTTTATTTATTCGAATTCATATTAACAGGACAACAAATGTTTTTTGAGTCAATTTTAGTAGAAGCAACTTCATTTGGTTGTTCAGTTGATAGAAAAAGTAGTTGTTCGGCTCCTTCATTGGCTAGCCGATCAGCTATTTCGTTGCCTTCAACTCCCGTGTGTCCAAAAACGTGTACAAACTTGGCGTCTATCGAGGATATTGCCAGATCAAGTTGCATCCACAAGTCCTTGTTCAACACGTCGCTTTTATTCACGGTCTGCCATCCATTTCGCTTCCATTTCGCGATCCAATTACTTATGCCATTGATGACGTACATGCTATCCGTGTACAAACATAATTTGTCCAAGCAATTTTCCCTCGATACTTTGATAGCTTCAATTGCCGCTTCCAGTTCCGCTCGTTGATTGGTGTATGGTTCTTGTCTCATTGGCGCGCTCAAGTTTAGATGAGAGTTAGCCGGGAAATGAATGCCAATACCAGCTATCCTCTCGCAATTGTGTCGTTTTCTATTACTGCGCCCGCTGCCTCCTACTGGTTTACAGCATCCATCAGTATATACAACAACTCTTTCGGAGACTTCTTTTTCCCGCTGATGTAATAATTGAGCATCAGTTGAGAGCGCTCGACTGATCTTAATAGAAGGAGTTTTCGTCTTCTTGGTGACTTTAGGCCCCGTCCGGTTACTTTGACTATCACGGTTGATTGCATGCAGCGTAGAAGAGCAGCAGCTATCTCGTCCAGCTTTGACCCAGTTCTCAGCTGCACTCAAAGTGGAGAACTTTTTGAGCAGGCTGCTTTTGAAGCCACTCACTTGCTCCTTGGCACCCCCCTCCCCCGCCCAACTCTTGAACACTCCCGTTTTCCTGCCCCGCCTCACTGCGTAGAAAGCTTCTGGAGGCATTCGTTTCCAACACAAAGCCCTACTCACAAGCAGCCCCCCTCCTGTCAGCATAAATCACTTTTTTATCACCAGACAGCAGCAGTACTTCACCTACATGACATATCCAACTTAAAATATTCATTCAACCTTTTTTTTGCTTAATATGGTTAACCCTCAAAGCAATTCGGGTAATGGGAATCACCGACATGTTTTTCTCAAATTGGGCTAGCTTCAGACAAAAAAAAATGAAGAAAAAAAGCCAAAGAACACATATTTGGTTTTTTGTTGTTTTCGTGAAACCATTCGCCGAGACTTTTAATGTAAGAAATGAGTAGGTAAATTGATCTCTTTCTAGTCAAAGAATCAGTAAGTACTAAGTTTTGGGCAATCGAGTAATAGTGATCCCGTGTTCTCCTCTATCACTACTTGGAGCTGAGTTCACAAATGCCAAAGAGTAATTTGCTAGTTGACGAATTTTATCAGAAGATAAGATCCCATATACTTGAACCTGAGCTCAGGAAGTATTTCAATAATATGCACAAGTGAAAAAGTATTAATCTTTGCATTTGTTAGCTGATTCACGTCTGAATAGACAGAAAAAAGATCATTTTTGTATGAATAAGGGAAATACATTAGTTGACTTACAAGCACTTAGGAACTGAAGAAAAACCCAAACAGATGTCGTCTTATACACTGAACAACGATTATTGAACACGGCTTTAGAATATAAATATTAGATAATTTTTGGGTTTTCAACTACGCAGCACTCACTGCCAATTTTGGTGGAGATTTAAGTCTGACTAAAAACAAAACAGATAGTACAAACACTATAACGATGAACAATCCCCCAAAAAAACTAACTTTTAATGATGAACAATCCCCCAAAAATACTAACTTTTGTAGGATTCTAAAATTCAGAAAAACGAAAACAAATTTAAGCGATTACTCTGAATTTGTCAATTTGAAGATTTGATTGGTCTTTTCCCAAGACTATCACTTCCGTTACTTACTCCAAATGAAATTGTTAAAACATTTCTAATCTCAAGTTTCCGCCGCTGAGTTCTGGATAATGCATCTGTCCAGCTACATCTTCTTGTGAATTCAAGTCAAAAACTAGATTACAGTGTCTTTGAAAATCTTCTTTAGGAAGAGCTGGAAAATCTTCGTTGAAATGCTTGCTTTCATTGTTGTAAAATGGGCAACAATGAGCGGTGAAGTCTCTGGTGAAACAATTGCTTTTCCACGCCGAATAATTCTGAGCTTTCTCAAATGAAACTATTGATAGTTGAAAAAAATTCATAAAAGAAAGCGCAACAGCTAAATTTCTGTCCATTGCGACTGCTATTTTTGTTAATAATGCATTATTGAAATTTTTTTTGAATATCCAGTTTTTGACGAAAAGGAATGATAAACGTTCTGGCAATTGATTCCATTGCAACTATTGATGATTACCTTCAGCTACTAAAATTCTTTTAGTAAACAGCAAACGATCAACAATTATTAGACTAACACTTGGATTATAAGAAAACATGTATAAATTAGGTCTGGCTCGATTTACTTTAATTCGAACTTTGATATTTGAAGGTTATTTTTTTGATACAAGAAAAAACAAACCAAGTGCGAGCCTCCCATAGAAAGAGAAGGTTATTCCTGCTCCTCAGTAATTTTTTCTATCAGTGAACGGAATCGTATCAAAATTTCTGGTAATTCTAAAAACGAAAAAAATGGGTCTAATTTGAGCTATTACTTGTTTTATGTGATGCTGTATCTCCTTAACGCAATGCTTTATGTATTTGAAACTATGCGGAAACCTACTGAAACTTCGGAAAAAATTAACACTTACAAACAACAACTACACTTTCACATAAAAAACACTTCCAAAAATCAAAACATTCACAAATCAAAACTAAGATCCAAAGGAGAAATTAAAAAACATGAACTAAATAGAAGAAGTAAAATCCACACACATTTTTGGTTTTTTGTTGTTTTCGTGGAACCATTCGCCGAGACTTTTTTTGTAAGAAATGAGTAAGTAAATTGATCTCTTTCTAGTCAAAGAATCAGTAAGTACTAAGTTTTGGACAATCGAGTAATCATGATCCAGTGTTCTCCTCTATCACTACTTAGAGCTGAGTTCACAAATGCCAAAGAGTTATTTGGTAGTTGACGAACTTTATCAGACAGATAAGATTCCATATACTTGAACCTGAGCTCAGGAAGTATTTCAAAAATATGCACAAGTGAAAAATTAATAATCTTTGCATTTGTTAGCTGATTCACGTCGGAGTAGACAGAAAAAGATCATGTTTTGTATAAATAAGTGAAATACATTAGGTGACTTACAAGCATTTAGGAACTGAAGAAAAACCCAAACAGATATCGTCTTATGTACTGGACAAAGATTATTGAACTCGGCGGTAGAACATATAGCTTAGATAATTTTTGGGTTTTCAACTACGCAGCACTCACTGCCAATTTTGGTGGAGATTTAAGTCTGATTTAAAACAAAACAGATAGTACAAACACTATAACGATGGACAATCCCCAAAAAAGACTATTTTTTTAACGATGAACAATCCCCACAAAATACTAGCTTTTGTAGGAACCTACAAATTCAGAAAAACGAAAACAAAAACGAATACAAACTATTCTGAATCTGTAAATTTGAAGATTTGATTGGTCTTTTTTCACGACTATCACTTCGGTTACTTACTCCAAATCAAGTTGTAACAACATTTCTAATCTCAAGTTTCCGCCGCTAAGTTCTGGATAATGCATCTGATCAGCTGCATCTTGTAGTGAAGTCAAGTCGAAAACTAGATTACAGTGTCTTTGAAAATCTTCCTTGGGAAGAGCTGGAAAATCTTCGTTGAAATGCTTGCTTTCATTGTTGTAAAATGGGCGACAATGAGCGGTGAAGTCTCTGATGAAACAATTGCTTTTCCACGCCGAATAATTCTTAGCTCTCTCAAATGAAGCTATTGAATGCTGAAAAAAAATTCACAAAAAGAAAGCGCAACGGCTGAATTTGTATCCATTGCGACTGCTATTCTTGTTATTACATCATTATTGAAGTTTTCTGGACAAAGATTATTGAACACGGCTTTGAAACATAAATATTAAAAAACTTTTGGGTTTTCAATTACGCAGTATTCACTGCCAACTTTTGGTGGAGATTTAAGTCTGATTTAAATTAAAACAGATAGTACAAACACTATGACGATTAAAATCCCAAAAAAACTAACTTTTGTAGGAACCTACAAAATCAGAAAAATGAAAACAAATTTAAGCGATTATTCTGAAATGGTCAATTTGAAGATTTGATTGGTATTTTCTCAGAACTATCACTTCCGTTACTTACTCCAAATGAATTTGTAACATTTCTAATCTTAAGTTTTTGCCGCTAAGTTCTGGATGATGCATCTGTTCAGCTGTATCTTGTGAGGCAGTCAAGGCAAAAAGTAGATTACAGTGTCTTTGAAAATCTTCAAAAGGAAGAACTGGAAAACCTTCGTTGAAATGCTTGCTTTCAATGTTGCAAAATGGGCAACAATGAGCGGTGAAGTCTCTGATGAAACAATTGCTTTTCCACGCCGAATAATTCTGAGCTCTCTCAAATGAAAGTATTGATAAATGAAAAAAAATATTTCACGAAAAGAAAGCACAACAGCTGAATTTGTATCCATTGCGACTGCTATTCTTGTTATTACACCATTATTGAAAATTTTTCTGGACAAAGATTATTGAACACGGCTTTAGAATATAAATATTAGAAAACTTTTGGGTTTTGAATTACGCAGCATTCACTGCCAACTTTTGGTGGAGATTTAAGTCTGATTTAAATTAAAACAGATAGTACAAACACTATGACGATTAAAATCCCAAAAAAACTAACTTTTGTAGGAACCTACAAAATCAGAAAAATGAAAACAAATTTAAGCGATTATTCTGAAATGGTCAATTTGAAGATTTGATTGGTATTTTCTCAGAACTATCACTTCCGTTACTTACTCCAAATGAATTTGTAACATTTCTAATCTTAAGTTTTTGCCGCTAAGTTCTGGATGATGCATCTGTTCAGCTGTATCTTGTGAGGCAGTCAAGGCAAAAAGTAGATTACAGTGTCTTTGAAAATCTTCAAAAGGAAGAACTGGAAAACCTTCGTTGAAATGCTTGCTTTCAATGTTGCAAAATGGGCAACAATGAGCGGTGAAGTCTCTGATGAAACAATTGCTTTTCCACGCCGAATAATTCTGAGCTCTCTCAAATGAAAGTATTGATAAATGAAAAAAAAATATTTCACGAAAAGAAAGCACAACAGCTGAATTTGTATCCATTGCGACTGCTATTCTTGTTATTACACCATTATTGAAAATTTTTCTGGACAAAGATTATTGAACACGGCTTTAGAATATAAATATTAGAAAACTTTTGGGTTTTGAATTACGCAGCATTCACTGCCAACTTTTGGTGGAGATTTCAGTCTGATTTAAATTAAAACAGATAGTACAAACACTATGACGATTAAAATCCCAAAAAAACTAACTTTTGTAGGAACCTACAAAATCAGAAAAACGAAAACAAATTTAAGCGATTATTCTGAAATGGTCATTTTGAAGATTTGATTGGTATTTTCTCAGAACTTTCACTTCCGTTACTTACTCCAAATGAATTTGTAACATTTATAATCTTAAGTTTTCGCCGCTAAGTTCTGGATGATGCATCTGTTCAGCTGTATCTTGTGAGGCAGTCAAGGCAAAAAGTAGATTACAGTGTCTTTGAAAATCTTCAAAAGGAAGAATTGGAAAATCTTCGTTGAAATGCTTGCTTTCAATGTTGCAAAATGGGCAACAATGAGCGGTGAAGTCTCTGATGAAACAATTGCTTTTCCATGCCGAATAATTCTGAGCTTTCTCAAATGAAACTATTGATAGTTGAAAAAAATATTTCAACAAAAGAAAGCGCAACAGCTGAATTTGTGTCCATTGCGACTGCTATTTTTGTTAATAATGCATTATTGAAATTTTTTTTTGAATATCCAGTTTTTGACGAAAAGGAATGATAAATGTTCTGGCAATTGATTCCATTGCAACTATTGATGATTAACTTCAGCTACTAAAAATCTTTTAGTAAACAGCAAACGATCAACAATTATAAGTCTAACACTTGGATTATAAGAAAACATGTATAAATTAGGTCTGGCTCGATTTACTTTAATTCGAACTTTGATATTTGAAGGTTATTTTTTTGATACAAGAAAAAACAAACCAAGTGCGAGCCTCCCATAGAAAGAGAAGGTTATTCCTGCTCTTCAGTAATTTTTTCTATCAGTGAACGCAATCGTATCAAAACTTCTGGTAATTCTAAAAACGAAAAAAATGGGTCTAATTTGAGCTATTACTTGTTTTATATGATGCTGTATCTCCTTAACGCAATGCTTTATGTATTTGAAACTATGCGGAAACCTACTGAAACTTCGAAAAAAATTAACACAAACAAACAATAACTACACTTTCACACAAAAAACACTTCCAAAAATCAAAACATTCACAAAATCAAAAATAAGATCCAAGGGAGAAATTAAAAAACATGAACTAAATAGAAGAAGTAAAATCCACACACATTTTTGGTTTTTTGTTGTTTTCGTGGAACCATTCGCCGAGACCTTTTTGTAAGAAATGAGTAAGTAAATTGATCTCTTTCTAGTCAAAGAATCAGTAAGTACTAAGTTTTGGGCAATCGAGTAATCATGATCCAGTGTTCTCCTCAATCACTACTTGGAGCTGGAGCTGAGTTCACAAATGCCAAAGAGTAATTTGGTAGTTGACGAACTTTATCAGACAGATAAAATTCCATATACTTGAACCTGAGCTCAGGAAGTATTTCAATAATATGCACAAGTGAAAAATTAATAATCTTTGAATTTGTTAGCTGATTCACGTCGGAGTAGACAGAAAAAGATCATGTTTTGTATAAATAAGTGAAATACATTAGTTGACTTACAAGCATTAAGGAACTGAAGAAAAACCCAAACAGATATCGTCTTATGTACTGGACAAAGATTATTGAACACGGCGGTAGAATATATATCTTAGATAATTTTTGGGTTTTCAACTACGCAGCACTCACTGCCAATTTTGGTGGAGATTTAAGTCTGATTAAAAACAAAACAGATAGTACAAAC